TGACTTAATGGACACTGTTTTGGATTTTAGAGTACATTTTTTTAGTTGGCTTAGTTCTCTTTTATTATACAGTTTGATCAGAGACAGAAGTCTATGGGCCTCCCTACTAGTGATGAGCTCCAGAAACAGGAAATCTTAAAGAAATTTATGAGCGAGGTGAACTCCTGATTTTCTTATTTTTCTTCTCATCACATGCTCTTCATTGATATGAGAGATCTGACATTCAACTGTCATGTGTTGGCAGCATCCAGAGATGGACTTCTCAAGGGCAAAAGTATCATAAAATGGTGCTACAATACCGCTGTGCTTCTATGGTTTTTGGAATGATCTCGGATACAGGGTTGTACTTTTGTTGTTGTAACAGTGGTACTAGTGTTTGGTGATTTCTATGGTTTTGAACATCATGAGTTTTATGATAAAATGTTATCTTTTATTTGGCCTTCTGAATTATTCCGAGTTCTCGAGTTTGTTAACATTAGTTTAGTTGGATGGGAAAAGAGGAGACAGATATTGAAAATGAATAGAATGGGAGTTTTGGTAGGAAAGGAGTAGAAAGATTTTAAAAATTAGGTAGGGTCCACACTTTATAATGTAGGCCTTTTCTACTTATGTCCATTTTTTCTCCTTGCTGCAACCTCCTAAAATTATATATTCTATCCTTATACATTTATAATAAAATATGAGAAGTTAATTATGTCACCTTACCTCCAAACCTCCTTTCTTCACCTTCCAGTGGGATGGGGTGTGTGACGTTTGAGGGTTTGAGTGTTTTAAATAGGTTACGGGTTACATAATCTAGTATTAATAGATACGGAAACTTGTTTTGGATTAAACATTGTGGAACATCTCATGAAGCATGTATTTTGGATTACTTATTATTAAACTGATAAATAAAGTAATCGTTGACACAATACAATCATGATAAATATAGTAACTCTTGACACAATATAATGATGATAAAATAGGATAAATAAGCTAGATAATACAAATTGTATGTATCAAGCTTGGAACAAATAAACTCAATTTGAGGACTCCTTAATGACTTAGTTAATACATCTGTGAGTTGATAGTTTGACCCAATAAATTCAGTACATATTTTTTTAATCAATAACTTTTCACGAACAAAATGACAATCAATTTCTATATGTTTAGTCTCTCGTGAAACACTGGATTAGATTTAATGTGGAGAGCAGCTTGATTGTCGCAATACATTATAGTATGAATGTCACAGAATTTAAGCTCTTGAAGGAATTGTTTCACTCATATAAATTCACATGTTTGTGATGCCATTGCCTTATACTCAGCTTCAGCGGTGATCGAGCTACTACATTTTGTTTCTTACTTTCCATGAAATTAATGTTTCCTCTAAAAAAAACCACTATCCTATAGTAGACTGTCTATATAGGCGAACCTACCAAATATGCATCACAATACTAGAGACTTGAATGCTTCCATTATCCTCATAACAATCTTGCTCGGGGAGCCTTTTTGACAGACCTTAGAATGCAAATGAGAGCATTCCAATGGTCAACACACGGAGTCTGCATGAACTGACTAACCACTCCAACTGCAAAGGATAGATCTGACCTTGTAATGAGATAAATCAGTTTTCCAACCAACCTTCTATACTTCTTTGGATCGAAGAATAATTTACCTTCTTCTATCTTTAATTTCTGGTTTGAGTCCATGGGGCTATCTACCGGTCTGCAATCAATCATGTTTGTTTCTTGTAATATATCAAGAGCATATTTCCTTTGGAAGATTACAACTCCATCTTTTGATTGCGTTACTTCAATGCCTAAGAAGTATTTGAGACTTCCAAGATCCTATGTCTACACAAGTCCTATTCAGTTGGATAGTCCAACAACATCATTTCCTGTAATGACAATATCATCAACATATACTATTAAGTAAACACATTTCCCAATAGAAGAATGACAATAAAAAACTGAATGACCTACTTCATTGCGTTTTAGCCCAAATTTTTTAACAATGGAGCTAAACTTTCCAAACCAAGCACGTAGTGATTACTTGAGGCCATATAAAGATTGATGAAGTTTGCATTACCATACCAGACTCCCCCTGAGCAACAAACCCAGGAGGTGGTTGCTCCATCTATTACTTCTTCCTCAAGATTACCATGTAGGAAGGCAATTCTTGATATCCAATTGATGAAGTGGCTAGTGACGAATGACTACCATGACAAAGAAGAGACGAATAGTAGTCATCTTGCCTATAGGAGAGAAAGTGTCACAATAATCAAGACCATAAACCCGAATGTAACCTTTTACAACAAGTCGGGCTTTGAGCCGATCAATATCACCATCAGGGTCGACTTTAACTGCATACACCCATCGACAACCAATCGCCTTTTTGCCCGGGGGAAGGGGCACCAGCTCCCAATAGTATTACTGTGGTCAAGAGCCTACATTTCTGCAATCATAGCTTGTCACCATCTAGGATGATCAAGTGCTTCTTTCACATTCTTGGGTATAACAACAGAAGACACTGAGGATAAAAGAGAAACATAAGAGGGCAACAATCGATGATAATTAAAAAAATTATTAATGGGATGAGGGTTTCGAGTGGAACGAGTACCTTTTATGAGAGCAATAGGCCATGCTAAATCATTTGCACCAGGAGGCGTGGGAGGAGGGGACGAGGGAGAAGAATTTGAAATAGGAGATTCACTATTGTCTTGGGGAGGTGGATTATCCATTGGGGCCCTGTGTGACATGATCTCAATATGTGGAGAAACGAGTTCAGGAGGATTGTGGTCAAGACTTAGAATAATAGAGACAATGGAATTATTTGACTCAGCCACTAGAATAAGAAGGACCTGTTAGAGGATAGAAACATCCTAAACAGATGGAGAGAAATAAGGAGTGTGTTAAAAAAATGTGACATTGGTAGACATGTAATACTTCTTAGTTTCAGGAGAGTAACACTGATATCCTTTTTGAAGTCGAGAATAGCCTAAGAAGAAACATTTGAGAGCACGGGCAGAGAGTTTGTCTAGACTTGGAGACATGTCATGAACAAAACATACACAATCAAACACTCAAAGAGATGTATGAAAGAGAGGATCATTAGGAAATAGAATGGAGAAAGGGATTTTATTATCAAGAGAGGAGGAGGGCATCCTATTAATAAGATAACATGCAGTTAAGATGACATCCCTCAAGTGATGGACAAGAATATGGACACCAAGCAAAAGGGTACTGTCAGTTTCAACCAAGTGTCTATTTTTTCGTTATGCTATACCATTTTGTTGCGGTATATGAGGACAAGTAGGCTTGATGTAAGATACCATGGGAACTCAAGATGGCAGAAAAGGAGGATGGGAAATATTTTTTTGCCATTATCACTTCTTAATATTTTTATTACTTGACCAAATTGATTCTTGATTTCTTTCAAAAAGGATGTAAAGATGACTAACAATCAGAATGATTTTTCATAAAGTAAACACCATCAATGATGGTAACAATATCTAAAACCAGAGGAGGAGATACAACTAGTTCCCCATATATCAGAATGGATGATGGAAAAAACTAGAATTATATATTGATTGAGACCTTTTAGGAAAGGAAGATCTAACATGTTTTCCTAATTGACATGACTCACATTTTAGACCACTAAGTTCAGGACACATCTTTTTTAATTAGGACAAATGAGGATGGCCAAGTTGATCATGTAGCAGTTTAGGATTAGGAGCAGCAACACAGGACACCCTTAGACGAGATCCAAAATGGTATAATTCGTCAGCTTCATATCCTTCTCCAATCTGTCTCCCTTTTACCACGCCCCAATATAACAAAATATTTGTGATCAAAGGTTATTAAAAAATTTAACATTTTGGTCAACTGGCTTAGGGAAATTAAATTAAAAGGACAATTAGGGACAAAAAGAATAGAGTTGAGATTGAGGGAGGGAGACAAGGAAACATGACCGACTCCTTTGGAGGAAGTTTTAGATCCATTTGCAAGGTTAAGAAATGAGGTTTTTCTCGAAAGGAAATAGATGAGAACAAAGATGTATTACCAGAAATGTGATCAGAAGCACCTGAGTTAATTACCCATGAAATTTGACCTTCCATGGATTGAGAAACGCCGGCTGTTAATGTACTGGGAGATTGAGATGGTTGTTCCAAACTGTTAGACTTTAACCTTAAATACTGTTGATATTCATCCTCGAAGAACTTAGAAGTAGAAGTTTCAGTCTTCGAAATATTGGCAGTTTTGGAAGGGAAACCATGTAAAGAGTAGTGATTCTCTTGAGTGTGACCCATCCTTTTATAATATGTGCATTGGGGACGTCTCCGACCTCCTCGTCCTCCTCTTCTAGTGTCATGTCCTCCTCTTCCTCGTGTGGAAATATGACAGATGGTTCCATTAGTTCATGTGCTTCCTGAGTTTGAGGTACCGGGACACGCAGAAGACGAGTGGTCAATGTTTCCATGGAAGGGACCTCATGACTAGGTCAGAAGTTGATCTCTGAGATGATCAAAATCGGGATGTAGGGCACGAAGGATCAATACCATGTAAAATTTGTCTAGTTTCATTTTGATATCTTCTAATGGGTCCGCTTCCAAAAACATCATGAGTTCTTCGACAATAGATTGGGCTTCAATCATGAAGACACCATATCACAATCTGCCATTTTAAGAGATGCGAGCTTGTTTGCAGTGTCATAGAGACGTTGAATATCATTGGCATAAATGCTTTGAGATTTCTTCCAAAAGGAGGGATAAGTTTTGAAAGCCCTTAGAGATATAAGAAGTTTGAGTTCCACTGATTGCCATAACAGGGCACCCAATTATAAATCTTCTTGTTTCCACTGATCAACTTTTTTTGTTGGCACATGGCCTCCATCTCGCTCAAGGTGGTCATAATGCCCTTGGCCAAGGAACCACATTTCAACAGCAACAGACCATGATAGATAATTTTTTCCATGTAGCTTCTCAGAGGTAATTGATGGACTTTCGGAGAAGGAAATAGTACTGTAGATGCCATCTCTGAAGAAGACGAATCGTACCAGTGAAGACAGAAACTAGAGCGGAATCGACCCGCTTTGATACCAACTTGAGAATTAAACTATAAAATAATTCTAGAAGGCTTGATTGATCCTCTCATAATCTTCTATTTATAAGAATAAATTGACACAAGAGTACATGATAGATAGGGTAACCCTTAACAGGAATATTAACATGTTAAATAGGGTAACCTTACCAATAGAATGATGTAAATGTTTCCAGAACATGATCCGAAGACATTCTGAAAGCTTGCTCTATTCTAGGACTACCATGACCTCCCTTCCCTCAAGAAGGCATTGATAGACTTAATGGAAAAGATTAGAGGAAACAAAGTGACTTTTAATCCAAACCACATTGTTCTAAGAGCTGGTGCCACAGCAAATAAGATACATGTCTTGTCTTGCTGAACAAGGAG